TGAGGTCCTATTTGTAAAGTGTCAAGAGCCGCGCCTGGCATTACTAAACGTTCTAGCTTTTCCCAGTTCCCCGGAAGCCCAAGAGTTGGCTTGTTACTGAAGGGCCGGCCACCTCACGGGCATGCCCTGGGCGTAACCAATCCCATGGCCTACCAAGTGCAGGTTCAAGCTGGATCTCGTGGGAGCGCTCGATCATGGCTGAACTCCCCCCCGGAGTTCAGCCGGCGACAGCTGCACACCCCCATAAGCTCAAAGGTGTGCCCTGCTTTAAAACAGATCCAGGAAAGTCCAAATATGCAAGGTGGATAGACTGGGGCAGGATCAATCATGCTCCAAGATTCTTTTCATTTTACCAAAGAATCCAAGATTCCAATAGTCTTTTGCAGGTTTTTTTTCTTCTTTTTTTTTTCTTTTGAATGAACTGCTTGACAAAGAAAAGGAAAACAATAAAGCTCTGTGGTTTTCTTGTCCACTAAGGATCAATCAGAAATGAGAATAATCTATGTAGGTGGGAAAAATGACTCGTAAAAACACGGCTGGTGCCCACGATTTTCTAGGAGCCCATCTCTGACCTTGGTCAGGGAGCAAAGACAGCCCTCCAGGTCCCTCGAAAAAGAAAATGTATCCAAAGAATTGGTGTGAGAATAGATGACACACATCAGGGATTTCTGTTTCTCCATCACAACCAAGATCTAAAGCCCCAAACTCAGACTCTTCGATTCGCGGTCGCCTTTGAAGAGCCCCAGCCAGGTGAAAACACACAATTCTTCTAACTAACCAGGATGACAACGGAAGCAATGGCCTCCAGCTGTGCAAAAGTCCACAGTTAGAAGGAAGTTATTTTTTTCAAAATAAATGATAATATATTGGGGCATAGAGGTAAAATCTACACTATAATTTATGTTGAAACTGAGACTCCAGAAAAATGTGCAGCCTGCCTCTCCTGGGGCCCCTCCCATCCCAGTGGGCCCACATCTGCGCACATGGGGTACGTCACTGGAAGGGGTCAAAAAAGCAGGAAGGTGCCAAGCTTCTCCTTTCACAGATGAGATAACAGAGGCCCTAAGAGATTCAGTGCCTGGCCCCATGTCAAACGACCAGAAATGGACCCCAAGTTTTCCCAGTCCTGAAAGACGATGTCAGCTACCTGCATTTTGACCTCAGCCCATACTTTCTAACTGATTAAATTCTTTCCAGCTTATCTCTGAACTCAGGCAAAAGACCCTGCAGGCAAATCACCCCGTGATGAGAACCAAGACTACCCCCTCAGGCAATCAGGACTGCCCTGACGCCAGCAAGACTCCACGTGGTTGACCCCAAGACAATGACCAGCCTTTTACTGCTCACAGGCCTGTACCTACCGACCTTTCTCCCACTTCTCCTTACAGAAACCTTCGAGTGTTCTCAGCACTTGGGAGGCTGTCTTTGAGATGTTAGTCTGACATCCTCCCGCTGTGGGCCTCACTGAAGTAAATCCCTTCCTCATTTCACCACCCCCTCCTCTCCGTGCCTTTGGATTTTGTCAGTGGTGAGTGGCTGAACCTGGTGTGTTTGGGACCCCCTGAGCCAGGTGATCCCACACCCCTACACCCCAATTACAGTCATAGTCCAAGATTCTGCTCCTCACCACCACGTCCTCCTTTCCTGAGAATGGAATCGGCCAAGTCCCCCAGCATGGCCAGTGTGGAAGCCAACCTTCCAAGGGAGGCATCCATGTACAGGACCCAAAGCCCCAGACTCCAGGGCAAATGTGAGCCTGCAGACAGGGAAGGGGGTCAACCTCTGCACCCCTCCCCATCTTCTCCCAATCTTGTCTCCTCCTTTCCCTGTGCTTAGCAGCTCACACCGACCCAGTCTCCTTAACTCCACTCTTGCTTTGTCCAGGACATTTTCCAGAGGGGCTCCAGACGGATGATATAAATCACAAACCTAGTTTAGTTACTCCCGCCTTTAAGAAGTTTTTATCCACAGCCCTCCGGATAAATTCCAAGCTATTAAGATCTACAAGATCTACCCCAGCTCACCCCTACCCTCCTCTCCAACCTCTCAGAGAAACACCTTCCTCACTGAGGAAGTCTAAAGACTCCTTGCGACCACCCTTCCATGAGCCGACATAAGGCACCTTCCTTTGAGCTCTTCTCTAACCCCTCAAGGCAGGGTGATGGCACCTTGCCCACAGGTAACTATTACTGCCTTTAGCCCGGCATTTTACAATAAACCATTCAGAGAATTTAAGCTCCTATGCAACGTGGGATCCTGAGACACAGACCTTGGGCTTCAGAGCCCAACAAAACCTGGGTTCAAACCATGATTTCACCAGTTTCTAGTCAAGCTATTTTCTTTCTCCAAGCCTCAGTTTCATTTTAAATAAATGGGGAAATACCTACCTTACCAGTCTGTTGCAAGGATTAAACGGAATGATAATGCAAGCCATAGAACCCACGAGATTGTTCCCATGAGATTGTTTACTAAGTGTTCTTTCCTCTCCTCTCCATCTCTTCCCCTGGGCTATCAAAGCTCAGTCATGCAAGAACAGATTTTTACTCTTTTGTATTCCTCATGAATAATACAGTGGGCATGCAATAAATGTTGGCAGAATAAAGGGGAGAGGGAAGAAAGCAGGTTGAGAAGGGCAGGAGGGAAGAAAGGAGGAAGGAAATTAAATAATGAAATGAATCAACGAATGAATGAAGCCAGAAGCAAAAAAGAGACACTGATCTGTTAGAGCTAAAGAGGTATTTTATATATGAGTCATAGGACTTTGAGAATGTCCTGTTCTTCCCTACTCTCTCCTATCCCAACTCTGCAAGGATATCTGCAGACACTACTGTGTCACTAAGAAAAGATACTGAATCAAGAGACAGGCCGATCGACCACGAAGCAGTGTAGTTCAATATAGGATTGGCACATGTATTTTTTTTTTTTCAGATTTTTCTTTTTTTTTTTTTAATTTGACAGAGAGAACACAAGAGGAGTAGAAGGTAGAGGGAGAGGGAGAAGCAGGCTCCGCGCTGAACAGGGAGCCCGAGACGGGGCTCGATCCCAGGACCCCGGGATCATGACCTGAGCTGAAGGCAGACGCTTAACTGACTGAGCCACCCAGGCGCCCCACATATATATATTTTTTTAATGCATTCCTCCATTTGTTCATTCCTATTCTGCTCTGAACACTGGACTTGTTACAAAGAAGGATACAAATAAACTGATCTTACTCTAGTGAGGTCTCAGTTACAGAGGACATATAATACCTAGGTCAGTGGTGGTGTTAAACCAGTCATCCAGGGAGGAAAAAAAAGGCGAATTTGTTGTTTCTGCCGATTTCTGTGGCGTAACTATTCCCACTGTGGCTGATTTCAATCTGCCAATGATTTACTCATAATGATTGAGCTCACAAAATCCCTAAGTACAGTGGACCCCCCTTCTCCACGGGGGATGCATTCCAAGACCCCCAGTGGACGCCTGAAACACGGGTAATACCAAACCCCACGTATACTCTGTTTTTTCCTATACATACATATCTACAATAAAGTTTAACTATAAGTTAGGCACAGTAAGAGATGAACAACAGGGTAACATAGAACAATGACAACAGTATACCGTAAGAAAAGTTTATGTGAATGTGGTCCCTCTCTCTCTCAAAATACCTTACCGCACTCACCCTCCTTGTGATGAGATGGGAGATGATAAAATGCCTATGTGAGCAGAGGAGGCAAAGTGAACGAGGCAGGCATTGCGAGGTCGCGTTTGGCTACCGGGGACTTCTGACCCTACGTCAGGATGAGGATCATCTGCCTTGGGGACCGCGACGGGTCATGGGTAACGAACAGAGCCGACAGCGAAGCGCTGGATGAATGACCAGGCGCCACTCCATCTACCGTCCGGCTCTCAGGAGCCCTGGGCGAGCCACTGATCCTCCACCCCCGGACTTCCTTCACTCGGCCATCTTTTTAGCCACTCTGCTGTTTATTAAGAGCCTCGCTGCCTGACGGATGAGAATAAAATGAGATCAGAGAAGCAGCTGATTTTTCTGTCAGTGGTTCGAGCAAAGGAGACTGAATGGGGAGGAAGTTGAAACTATTAGCTAGAACGTGTTTATGGGCTTCTATTATCCCCATTCTCTCTGCCCCGTATTACTGCAGATAAGTGAAAGCAGATGCCCTCATCAGATGTGCAAAATACAAACACGCTTTCTGACCAAATACCGACCTGATGGCCACAACCTGGAAACAGAAAGAGGGAGAAAGCAGCTATGGTGGAAACCTCAGAAAGGCCAAATTCATCAAGATGGCGGAGGGGATGTTAAAATGGGACTTTCTCTGGGTAGGAACAACATGGAAAGTATTTTTTCTGAATGTTAAAGATCACAGCAGCTTTCTGGACCCAAATCTAAACAGGAAAAAGCATACCAAACTAACAAGGGAAAACCGTTTGGCAAAACAAATTTTTATCTTAATGTGGCTGGAAAGCGGGGAGATTTAGGAAAGTTTTCGGAAGTTCTGCGATGGAGTCTCACCCTCTCTGCCACAGGAAAGGGGCTCGCTGGGTGGTTATTTATGCTTCGACAGAAGAGGAAGGTGGCTGGCACCATCTCGTTCCCTCTCACTAGGACTCTGGCTTGCCTTCCCCTTCCCTGAGTTTCTAACGGAGGCAGCACCACATGAGTAATACTTGACACAATGTGCTCCCCATCTCTCCAGCAAGGCAGAGTTCCTCCACGTGAAGGATGTAGTTCAGAGTTCAGAGTTGTCTATACAAGCGCTTTTCTTTTTACGGCTCAGTACATGTTTGTTGATGTGAACCCCATTCCCGGTGACCACACTTGTCCATCCAGTCTGATCCAAAGCTCCTGAAGGCGTAGGAAGGACTATCTTGCTCTGCTCCATGATTTCAGCTTCCTTACTATCTCGGCATTTGGGATCCCGGGGCTCTTCGCCGCCTACGGTAGCGACAGCTGTTACTTTACTTTAGTAGTGAAGTGAAGGAACCCGAACTCAAGCCACAGAGAGGAAAAAGCAGAAAAATCAAAAATATGTGGTGAGAATCTGAGGACAAAAGAGGCCTACGCGGGAGGACAGAAACAAAATGATCACAGATTCATGCTTACAGAGGTGAGAAAGGAGGGGTGGAGGGCATTTCCCTTCCATTCAAATGGAGTGCAATTTAACAGTGAAGAAGGGGCGTCCGGTACTTTACATCAAACACACACACACACATACACATAAAAACATGCCCATAAGCAAAGTGTGGCATTTGGGGCCACCGCCTTGTTTCACAACCTGAAAGGAATCAAAGAGAGATTGGGGACAGATTTAATCTTTAGATATTTTAAATCACTGGGTTACCCAACTCAAGGAGAAGATAATTACTCTCTTTCACTGCAGTAAATAAGGCTGAGCAGGGCTGTGTCAGATGAGCTAAAAGGCCCATTTATGACACAACGGGGAGAAAGGCAGGCAGGAATTCACTGTGCCATTATGCCCAGGAACGGGCAAAACACAGAAGGGGCTCCACTGGTGAGGACGGGAGGGTGGGGGGTCACCCAGGCACCCATGGCTGGGTGTGAGTCCCCTCTGGCAGAGATAGAAAGGAGATCACAAAACACACATGGATGGCAGGTTTCAGATTTTAAAGCAGCAGATAGGTTAGAAACGTAGAGGAGTTAAAATTAATGCCACACTCTAATGTGGATTCAGGACATCATGAACCCCAGCAGAAACTCTCCCCAGGGTTGGGGTGGAAGGAGCCAAGAACTGGTATTATCCCACATAGCATTCCAAAGGCCCGCTCTAAATTTTCAGAGGCAAAAAAATGTGATGTTAAAAGCACTGTAGGGGGGCGCCTGGGTGGTGCAGTTGGTTAAGCGGCTGCCTTCAGCTCAGGTCATGATCTGGGGATCCTGGGATTGAGTCCTGCATCGGGCCCCCTGCTCAGCGGGGAGACTGCTTCTCCCTCTGCCTCCTCCCCCCTGCTCATGCTGTCTCTCTCTCAAATAAATAAAGTCTTAAAAAAAACCAACACTGTAGGGCTTGCAGGATAGCAAAGAGGAACACGGACCATTCACACACAGGGTAGAAGGGTGCAGCTTTTGCAAATACGAAACCCGAGGTTAGACTACCTGGGCTCAAACACCAACCCTGCCATGGAGTTGCTGAACCGGGTGTGTGTGTGAGCATGTACACACAAATCTCCTGGGTCTGAAAAACCTTCTTCAGGAAAGTGTCAAGAGCTAAAATACATGATCTGAAAAGTGATTTCAAGCTTTAAAATTCTAGGAAATAAAAAACTGGGAGAGGTGACAGGCCTCTTAGTAAATGAAAGGCCTAGAATGAATGACAACCCGTAGAAGCATTAGAACCGAGCCCCTGACCACAGAGACAAGACAGGCCTCAGCTCAGCTGTTTAAATGGAACCGGTCACTCAACCCCCACTACCCTGTGCCTAAACCGACAGCCGAGAAGGGCACGGCCTGGTCTCAGGACATTCCATCCCTCGGATTATTTGATGACGTCTCTGTCTCCTACCCTCCTACCAGGGTACAATTTTCTAAAAGCAGAAAAAATCCTTCCCAAGAAAATAAACACTCCAAACAACTGTCCCATTCTGTTACCTATTTGGATTACATAATTACTATGAAGTCAAGACTTTCTTACTGACATGCCAAAAAAGAACTCTCAGCTCATAAGCTAAACTGCCTTTTCTTCACTGTCCAAAGCTCTAAAAAAACCCCAAGTACCTAAAAAGCAGTCCCTAGAGCCCACTACGATGGAATAAAAAACTCCACTGCCACAAATCCGCTCAAAGTGGAAACTCACATCAAAATATTTTAAGTCCGTGGAGATATAGGTTAGTTCTGTGTACTCTATTCTTTTAACAGTAACAACCATAAGACAGACATACCCTCACTGATGTCCCAAAGTGCCCTCTGTAGGGAAAGAATACTGGTGATTTTTCCTAGCTCTGTTGAGGATAATTTAGTCAAGTGCACATCCTAACTTGGTGGTTCGACGATCTGTAAAATGGGGCTAGCAACAATCGGCAGCATTTACCAGCAACCAAGTAAGACAGTTAACCCTCTCCTGACTTACATCCACACCAGGAAAAAAACCCACCGGGCCAAGGTGACGCGAATCCCACAGAGTACATTAATGAAGGTACCCACACTTTTCCCATTGAGGCAGCAGTAAAAAGGCTGAGGCTTCCTTTTACAGCCTGTTCTAACTTGTTCGTCTGGATCAATGTAGAAATAGCAGCAATTTGCTCTTCATAATTCCTCTCCAGGAATAAAAAGGGCTAGGACGTTCCTGGAATGCCTCCTCAGGTGTACCTCCTGGGATCACTGAACTTTGCTCATTCGGTCGGGGTGAAGATTAAATGACATAATGCATGTAAAGTGCTGAGCGAGAACTTGACACGCAATAAACTCAGTAAGGAAACGATGTTTGTAAACAACAACAACAACACAGCAAAACAACCCCCACACCCGCGCCCTGAAAAAGACTGTCTCCTGATGCTTATCAACTTACTCGGAACAGGGAAGACCGACACATAAGGTGATGGTTCTAGCGCACATCCCAGAGATCTTCGCTATCCTCTGCTTTTCTCCTAACTAGCCACCTGCTAAATGCTAACGCAGACCTTGCCACAGTCCCGTGAGTACTCATACCCCACCTGTCTGTCCAACCCTCAGCAGTGACAAGTATCAGAGTCTGAATCAATGAGAACAGAAATGCAGAAGACCTTAAAGAAATTCCAAAGCCCCTGGCCCCGATCCTGTGGAGGTTTTGCCAGAAAAATCAGACACCCCACACTAAACAACTGTTGTCAGTGGGGAAAGGGGGCAAATTAAGCACAGAATCTGAAGACCCTAATGAAAAGGTCCCCATTATAGACCAGACCCCCAAAAGTATCGCTCTTCTTTAAATTTTAGGCTACAAATAAATTTCTTTCTAAGGCACACCTAGCAATCTTTTGTGTTTGGCTCTGCTGTTTGGACATGCATGCTTAGGTTTTCCTTCCAGGCACAAAACCATTTTTCAAGAGCTTCATGAAAATGTGAATATTTTCATGACATGGAGATAAGCAGATTTTACTATAATTTATAACTGAATTTTCTAATTCACTTTGGGGCACACACATGATCTCCAACGTTCGCTTTCCCAATGACACACCAGAGTACGTAACTATGCAAGGTATTTTTTAAGGCGGCAAAACAAATACTGTCTGGACTGTAAAATTTAAAGAGGTTCATCCGCAACAGTCATGAGACTGTGTGACAAAAAATAAATAGCCATAAAACTTTTAATTTTTATTTTGAATTATGCCTACTCAACCCATAGAAGACCAGGATGTGTCACAATCTTTGTAAGTTTCTAAACCATGTTTTTGGAAGCACCCAGGGCTTTAGTGTGATGCCTATTCAATGTGTAAAAGACCAGGCCACTGGACAACACTTGTCCTTTCGAAACCATGCTTTCCAAAACGCAAAGGGCTAACGCGGCCCATAACTTTAGAGAAGGGTAAGTCATGTTCTACCACTTGCCGAATATTTGGCTGATTTCACGTGATGTGAGTTTTTATGGCAACTATTACCATGAACGTGTCCGTTCTCTACAATTCCAAAGTAATAAGTGCAACTTGTAAAAGTTTTTTTTTTATTTAATACATTCTAATCGAAGAGTAACAGCAGTAAATAAACACTTTGAAAAAACAGGCAGGTATCCCCCTATATCTGGAAGAGAATTAAGTCAAAGTATTCTACATGGTAGAAGGGAGACAACTGCTGATGTCTGTGGTTAGACAATTCAAGGACAACTTGTTAATTTCTACAGCCATTTCCAAAAAGTCAATGGCAACAGGGTGGGACACAGCTACTTGAAAGGATCAAATGTCTGTATCTACATGGTTTTATTAACAGGGGTTGAGCTGCACCTGTAGAGTATGACATTCTTGTCTTTAGCCTTAAAGGAAAAGACAAAGTCTTTTCTGTGTGCACCAGTTTGAAATAGTTCTGAGATAAGGCTCCCTTAAAACGGATTACTACAGTACTCATTCACATGAGAGAGTTCATAGGTGTAGTAAAAAGTCAAATACAGGATTTCATGGTCACCTTTTTGGTTGATTTGGTTAATTGCATAAATGAAGGATAAATACTCACAAGCTTATCTGTTTAACAAAACTCCTAGGTACATCAAGAATGCAAAAAGAGAAAATGGCCTACAGGGGACTCTGACCACCAGGCATCTAAAATTGAAGCTAAGCCTGGTGTCAGTTGGTTTCCTTCCACTCCTTCTGTACTCCTGCATCCAGTTCTCTCCCTACTACCGGGGCGTGGACCTTTGACCTAATAAGGAAGAACCTCAGAAAGGCATTCAGACTACCTACTACTAAGGCATTCTGATAACACGTTCCTTCCAGCCTTTCCTTGGGACATTTTGTTTTTAACTTGAGAGGATTAACGGGTCTTGGTCAGCCTCAGGAAGGTAAGCATCACTCTCAGGTGAAAATATTTGGGGGAACTTTAAATACCTAGCTACCTCGGCACAGGTTTAAATTAGATTGACTTCAGCTGTTTTTAGAATCCCGAGTAGTTATCCAGAGCAGTCACTCAAGTTTTGGTTCTCTTTGACATAGCTGCATTCGGAGAGACTCTATATGAGGCATGGTTAGAAAAAGAGAAGCACTTATACCTGGAATTTATATTCTTCCAAGTAATCTTTTAGTCTCGTTGGTAAAGGCAGCCCCCAGATGGTCCCGGTACATTTGTTAATGGTGAGTCTACAGAGATGCTGCAGAGGTGGTGCTGATGTGTAGAGTGGTCTGGTCAGGTAAAGGTGAACGGTGCCGTTCCGGGGGGCTTCTGGCCCCGTCCGCTTATCCTTGCACATCTGAACATAGTAGTCGATCAGATGAACCACACTGTCAAATTGTTTAAGCTTGGACTTGACACATATGATAGAGTCCAATCTGAACTTCCCATCTTGGTATTCGATTCGCAGATTAGTTGGTCCAGCTGATGTCTTAACAGATATTGTTAGCAGGTAGTCTGAATGCGAGCTGTCTCTAATCAAGAAAGTTCCTTCTGGTGCCTCTTTTAATTTCTCTTTGGCTTCATTAACAGTCATACTTCCCCAGTACCAACCTGGGGTTTTTGGTCAAAAAGAAAAAGAAAAGAGGGTAAAATAGTTATTATAAGGAATTTTAAAAATAGGGCAAATACCTGGCAACAGTTTTTCTAGCTCTAAGTAGAAACGTGTGAGTGAATGTTTACCAGAGACTACCACAAATACTTTCGGTAGAAATTTAATGAAACTGTGGGCCCATTATACTTTATGAACCCAAACTGAGAGTCAGCTTTTGGCTTTAAAAAGTAGCTTTCTGTAGCTGTTCTTTAAATTATCCGAAGATTTTTCTCCTAATGAAACAAAAGAGTATTTGCAATATGACACACTGGCTGACAAAGCATGATGCGTCTAGCACTATTCAAGTGAAATCAAAGCAACTTAAGAGATAAATCAGAAGTTAGAACTAAAAGTCATGCCCTTACAAAAGTGGAGAGGCCAACTCCAGTAATTCCAACAGGGTAAAAACCAAAAGAACTTTTGGGAAGGTTGGTGTCCACCCTACTCCCCCCCCCCCCCAAATCTGTTCAGGGCTGCATCTGTTCAAAGCCCTTGGAAAGCACTGCTATTTACGTCTTCTCCAAGTGCAGACCCAGTCTAACAGCTTCTGTTTGTTGCTTTGATTACAACTACCTTATCAGTCATTGAGAAATGAGGGAAACCCCAACTGGTAATTAGCACTTCAAGCTTACAACCTGCAACTCTTTCGGATTTTGCCCTAATCCAAATCCGATCACAACCGTCGGTCTCCCCAGCATTCTCGATTTGATCGGCTTGCGTCATCCCAGGGTCCATCCTGTTTTCAGCAATGACTTCGAGACCTTTTGCATAAGAAGTCTGACAGTGTGCTCTCTTCCCCCCCACCACCACCCAAAAAAACAGCTCCGATACCTGCAATCTACCGGCCCGCCCCGCTGAGGGGAGAGCCTGTGGTTGGCACTCAAAGACCGGAACTGAGAGTGACTTTTCCCTCTCCCTAGTGCCACCAAAACTTCAACTTAGCCCCAAACGTAAGCTTTTAGGATTCCAGATTTTGAAAGCTTGCGTAGTTTGCCAGATTTTTTTTTTTTCCCAATCTGTTCTTTTTTCAGACGCCGAGAGACGACAGCGGGCCACGCAAAGCGCAAGATTGCCCTCGAAACCAGCAACACCCTGGGCGCGCAGCCCCTGAAGGCCGCGCTCTGCGGGGGCTCCGCCGGCCGCTTTCCGCCCGGCTCTGCGGCAGCCGCCTGCGCCCTAATCCGTCGGTCCTTGGAATTTGGCCGCCAAGATCCCGGGCTGCCGCGGCTGCTCCGCTCGGGAGCCGGATGCAGCTGGAGCCGCGGGCAGCGCAGCGCCCACTCGCCGCGCCGGTTCCCCGCGGAAAGGGAGGCGCCTGGCACTTTCTCCCGCCGGGGTTCAAGCCCGTGTACCAACTCCCGAGCGGCCGCGGCAAACAAAGGTTCCAGCGCCCTACGAGGCTATTTTCAAGAAGCCCTTCTCGCGCTCTGCCCTCCCCTAGGCCTCAGAGTCCCTCGAGAACCACTTTCCTTTCGCATTCCCAAGGACCCAGGGCCGCGCGGGCATCCTCTCCGCGGTCCCCCGCCCCGAGGCGGAACGGGAACCGAGGGGCCCTAGTTCCATCCCATTCTTTGCTCCCCACCGCGGCCCCGTTTCCTAGCCGCGCTCCCCGCCAGCAAAGCCTGCAACCGCGTCTTTGGGGAAGCTACCCCTGTCGCCCGCGTCGCGGCGGATCGGCTCCTTACCTGTTTGACTGAGCTCCCGTAGGGCCTTCGCCAAACGCGCCGCCTCCGGGGACGGCTCCTCCGCGGATCCCGCGGCCCCCCACTGGCTCTGCGTCCCTTCCGCGCCATTCCCGGAGGGCTCGAGGCACCGCAGGGTCATGGGAGAGAGGTCACCGCGGCAAAGACAGGTGGCCACCCGCGATGGGGTCAGAGCCGGGCACGCGTCCTTCTTGGAAGTCAGTGGGAACCCAAAAACGAGTCCCTGCGGGGTATCCGAAATGGTGGAGGGGGAGGGGATGGGGTGCTTCTGGTTCTTCCTCCCCAGGTTCCAGTGGACGAATGGCAAAGTCCCCTGCAGGCGCGGTCACCCACAGTTTGCCTGCAAAAAGAAAGTATGGGTTTGGGTCAGTCCAAGCTGGACCCCTGAGGCTGGGGTGTGGGTGGGGAGACAGAGACGTGGAAAATCCCGGGGACTCCTCCACGTCTATACTCCTGCACCATTTAATCCCAAGCATCCAGGGACTGCCCCGGCCCAGCTGTAGAGAAAGGATAGAGAGAGAGCAGGGCTCCAAGACGCAGGAGTTGCCGAGGGGGAGGGGGTGGGGAGGGACAGGATGAGGGTGGGGAACAGGGTGTCTTCCCGCCCAGGGCTACTGGCTGAAATCGCAGACTAGCAGAGCAGTCACCTGCGGGTAGGGTGGCAAATAGGCCCTAGTCAAGGACAAGCAGAAAAACTGTAAAGGAAAGAACAGGAGAGATCCCCAAATTGGCACTCCTGTATCTCACACTCTGCACAGCCCGGGGGCTCCGGGACGAAGCACCCTGAGTCGCCAGCCCGGGGCGCCAAGGTGCGGAAGCTGCCGCACCCTCCCCTCCGCCCGTTTCCCAGCGCCCGCGTGGGGCAGAGGTGGGGGGCGCCGCCGTGCGCAGTGGCAGCCGCCGCGGGCGCTGTCGAGGAATCGGCCCAAGCGCGCAGCCCTCGCGGGGGCTCGGACCTGAAACCCCGCCGGGGCAGAACAGGCGGCAGCTAGCGCCGCTGGACGTGTAAGACAACGATCGCGGAGCCCTTACCTCGGCCTCGGCCGCCGCCTCCACACCAGGCAGCCTCCCCAGTGGACATGGGGCGGGGGAACCGGGAGGGGCCCGGGAGAGGAGGGGTGTCTGCCCGAGTTTCCCCTGTTGACTTTTAATTTGGGAACGAGATGCCTTGGGGATGCGCTCTGCGGCAGCCAGAATTCTTGCGCAGAGGGCAAACAAAAGAGCCGGGGACCATCGCCTAGAACCCCCGGGCTCCGAAATCCCCCACCCTGGCCAGCTGCTGGCTTTTCCTCCGGCTGCGACCAAGGAGGTGGGAAGAAGAGAGGGAGGAGAAAGGAGCTAGGGCGGGAGGCAGGCGGGTGGGGAGGAGCGGCAGATCAGGTTATTAGGAGGATTATTAATTTGGATGGCAGTTTGCGGCGGGGGAGAAAACTCCGCGGAGACTTCCCGACGCCTAGAAGGAGCGGAAGAAAGCAGGCTGCAGCGCCCGGCCGCGGGACAGAGCCGCGGCTCCGACTCTGTCTCCGGCGGTTCTGAACTGCGGAAGCCAAGGCCGCCCCGCGCTCGCGGCCGCGCCCCGGTACCCTCCCCGGCGACCCCCCTGGAGAAGAGCCTTCGGGCTCCCCGGACCAGTACCTGCCGCCAGCGCCCGGCCGAGCTCCTCCGGCGCCCCGGCTGTGGGCGCACGGGATCCTGAGGCTGTGCGCACGGGTCCCCGGGGCGCACTGTCCGCAGCCCGCGCAGCGCCGGTAGCGGCGGGCGAGGAGGCTCATGCTTCAAGGGAAGCCCAAGGCCCGCGAGCCGCTGGGGCGGCGGCGAGACATGGCAAGAGTTAAACGTCTGTCCCCGGAGCCGGGTGTGCGCGCGACTCCCCAGCCCCGCGCGCCTCTCTCGCCCCCGCCTCCCTCCCCTGTCCGCGCTCCCCTTGCGCCCCGCCCGGCTGCGGCGGAGGCCGCTTTCCAGGAACTTTCCAGGAATCCACCTCACGTGACCGCGGCCCCCGCTTCTGCTTTAAAGAGGCTCCGGCGCGAATGCGCAGGCTTCAGGGGAGGCGGGCTGAGAGCGCTTGGTGCGGGGCTGGGCGGAGGGCCTGCCTGGGAATCCGCCCGCCTCCGACCCGGTCGCTCCGAGTGCTCGGAGGCGCGCAGGAGAGGCGCCCCTGCCACCGCCGTCCCCGCTGCGGCGGCTGGAGCCTGCCCCCCGCCGTGCCCGCCGTGCGCTGGGGTCTGAGGACTGAGACTTCCACGGCCAGCCGCGGGGCTCTGTCTCTCCCACCCTCTCCGCGCCTTCTCGACGCGACCCTCCCGGCTGCACATTTTGTGAGCGGGGTGTGGGAGGGACGGGGGGGGGGGCGATAACGGCCCCTCTCGCTTTACAGCACAGTAACGGAGTGGGAGAGGCCCCTTTCCAGGCGCCCGCGCTCCCGACCGAGAGCCGGAGATGAGGGCCGAGGGGAGCGGGCCGGAGGCGGTGCTCTCGCCCAGGTCCTAGAAGGCAGCCCACGGGTGCAGAGCGGCGCCTCCTTAAGCAGCGTTAGCGGCTCTCAGTCTCCTCCCCCAGGCGCTCCAGCTCGCAGTCTCCCGCACCGGCCCCACCGGGCTCCTCCTCTCCTCCTCCTGCTCCCCCACTCCGCTCCACCGTCTCCTTCCGGCTGACAGCCCGGCTCACCTGCACTGACTGCTGAGGGGAGCGCCCTTACCTGCGCGCCTCGGTGGTGCTGGGCGGTCGGCCTCGGTGCCTGCAGTCCCGAGAGCTTTTGTCTCGGCGATTTCCCGCAGGGCTGGCGCCCAGGGACTGGGAATTCGGAAAGATCCCGTCACTTCCCTGCGCGGAGACCCTCACCTCCTCCCACCCGGTTGGAGGCCACCTGGCCTTAGTTGGAACTCAGCTCCTTGCCTGCATGCCCGTCTCCAAAATGTGACCTACTTTAAATGTGACCTACTTTTTTTGAAAACCATTAACACTCATGGGAAAACCGGATCCAAATTTTCGATAACTATTTTTCTTTGAAATACTATTCTATTGCATCACTTGTCAAAAGCTTGAAAGGTCAATGGCCACTTGCAGTTGAAGCAGCGGCTAAGGGGAAGTTGGGCGCGGAAGGGGGAGGAGGCGTGGGGGCGGCGCGGCTCGCAAACCTTGCCTGGTGCCCCCCCTGCTGGCCCTAGGAGGAAACAAACCAGCTTCCTGCCTTCCGTGCCAGGAGTCAGGGAGGAATGGTTTTCTCAACAATTTTCCGGCTTTTGAGTAAATAACTCTGCAAATGATAGGCAGGTGAGCCAAGAAGTGAGGGGACATTTCCCAGCTAACAAAGGGCTTTGTCAATGATAGAGTCGTGTGCATGGAATCATGTTTTGTTTTTTAGAGTCTTCCATGTGGAGGGCAGAGCTAATTCAACCCTGGTTAAAACTCCCTATAAAGTAGCTGAATAATTTTGCCCAAGTCATTTAACTTGTCTCTGGACTCTCGGCCTTTTCTATAAAATTGAGGGACCGGACTCCAGTCCTGGCTCAGGGACTGGGATGAATGAACAAATCAAATTCCATGCAGAGTTTGTGTATAGTCTGAGGCCCAGAACCTTTAAGAACTGGTAATCATACTAGGGTTCACTATGTTCTAAATTATTCCATATGGCTTCTGTTCCTTTCTAGAGAATCCCAGATGAAGGGTGTACCCACTGTTCTGGGTAGTTTAAATAAAAAGATTTTAAACATTTTACAAAGATAAATTTCTGTTAGTCAGTTGAAATGAATCTGCCAGCAACCCTCCTTATAATGTGCTTTCCTGTTGCCTCCTAACATGTGCCATTTCCTCTTTCTCGCACACACGGTTCCCTCTTCCTGGGTTGCCCTTCCCCAGATTGGGTATGTGGCCAGCTCTCATCATTCGAGTCTGCGCTCAAAGTCATCTCCACAGACAGTCATTGTCCACAAAAATTACAATGAGCACAATGTCAGCTGTAGGGGCACCAAACTTTGTAGCAAAGTAAGATTCCGACTTGTTTCTGAAATGTTTCCCAGCGATACCCAGCATTTTGTTGGCCTTTTTAATCACCAAGAAACACATATGGGAGCCTCTTAGGAAAATATTTATGGGATCATGTTAAGTGAAAAAAGGTAGAATATGGAATTGTATCTATGCTATGATTACAACATAAAATTATGTATGCCTGTGGGCAAAAACAAGGAAATGTGGAGAAATGAAAGCAGCTGTTTTTAAGGTGGCAGGATATAGGTGAATTTTTAAATTTGACTTCCCTAATGCTTTTCCAGTATATTTTTTAAAAGATTTTATTTATTTATTTAGCAGGGGGTGTTGGAGAGAGAGAAGCAGGCTCCCCACTGAGCAGGGAGCCAGATGTGGGGCTTGATCCCAGGACCCCAGGATCATGACCTGAGCTGAAGGCAGACACAACCCACAGAGCCACCCAGGTGCCCCTTTTTCCAGTATTTTGGGTACAGTTACCATTTTCCAAAACTGCATGTGGATCAGTGTCTTCAGTGACTCGAAGGGAGTAGAGTGTAGTTTGTAGAGCTTATGACCCCAGTCCAGATGGATCTCTCTCCTGAACTCCCAGACCTGCCACTCAGCATTGCCTTTCAGATGTCTAATAGACATCCCCAGTTTAACATGTCCCAAACTGAGACCCGATAATTTCTTTTTTTTTTTTAAAGATTTTATTTATTTATTTGAGAGAGAGAGAATGAGATAGAGAGCACGAGAGGGAGGAGGGTCAGAGGGAGAAGCAGACTCCCTGCCGAGCAGGGAGCCCGATGCGGGACTCGATCCCGGGACTCCAGGATCATGACCTGAGCCGAAGGCAGTCGCTTAACCAACTGAGCCACCCAGGCGCCCCCCGATAATTTCTTAAAACAACCCCCTTTAAGACAAAAACAAAAGCGATTCCTCCATTTTCCCCCATCTCTGAAAAATGTCATTTCTAGTCTTCAGTGGCTCTGGTTAAAAGCCTTAAAGTCATCCTTGACTGCTCTTTTTCACACACCCCACATCCCACGTGTTGGCCAATCCTTTGACTCTGATTTCACAAAGAACTCAGAATTGAAGCCCTTGCCACATTTCCAGCACATACCAGTCCAAGCCTGGCTTACCAGTCTCGCCTGG